CCAGGAGCCTCAGATCGGCAGAGATATGGTCGAAAACCTGAAAAAGATCAAATGAAAATAAGAAATAGAAAAATAACAAAGAATGAAAGAAAAACTTATGACTTAAGTAAAAGTAGTTAACTTCTTGAGAGCATCCTCAATACCGAGATTCTCTAAACCAAGATCCATGACTTCAGAAGGCTTCCGCTTCCAGGATCCTAAAGCCTTAATTGTAGGGTCTACGTGAGATCTCTTGGGAGGAAGAAGAGTGAAACCTTTTTCTTGCTTAACCTTGATCAAACCGCTGGTCATATCATCTTCAAGATCTGCCAAACCAAAACGAGCCTTGGACCGAGTAATCTTGGAACCTGCCAAAGATCCCTATCAACTTAGGATCCTTATCAATCTAAAAGAAGTACATAAGCTAAATAATATTACCAGTAGCCATAAAACAGTAGTAGAAGAACCCTATTGGATACTAGAATGTTTGAACTTGAACAACCTTTCAAGTGTAGGAAGTGCAAGAAATTTGGAAACCTTGTCCTCAGAATCACCAACAGTAGGAACAAGCTCGTCAAATTTGAATGTTGCATCAATACAAATAAAATAAGGGAAGTAAATTTCAAGATCCTTAAAATCTAAATTCAAATCCTACCCTTTTTAATCCATTCTTTTGGTAGTGAATCCCCATGGAGAATTGAATCACGTCTCATAAATAAGTATTTTTCCTTCCAAACACCATCATTTTGTTTAAATTTTAGAATGAGGTGGGGTTTATTAGTCTTAACTCTTAAAAGGAAATGGGAAGAACCAAAAGTATAAAGATCATAAATGAGGGCCAACTTAGGTAACCTGATGTCCATATTATTGGACTGATTCAAGCGATCAATCCAAAACAAGATCCTCTAAACCATAGGCATAGCTTGGATATAAGAAATTTGGGTAGTCGAAAAGAAATCAGGAAAGATACTAGTAAAAGGATAAGTTAAACCTAGAGTAAATAGGTATTCAGGAAAGCAAACCCACATTGGAGAAACAAATTCCAGTTGAATGGTGGCCTTTAAAGGTTGAAAAACTACATTAGAAGGAAAATCCTCGATGGAATTCAAAGATTTGATATCCTCATCGTTGAATGTCACAACTAGGAATTTGAATGTTTGTAACAACAACAATTATATCAAATGTGAACCAACAATGTGAAAGCCAGTATGATGCTTATGCAATAACAACAAAACTTCAATCAAACACTTCATACAAGCACTGCAAATAGTCAACAAAGAATTGGAAACCCTAGAAATCCCGGTTTAAGTCCATTTTGGACTAGGATTTCCTTATTGGGCCCAATAGACCAATAAGCTTCCTATTTGACTATCTTGGGCTTAGAACTCTTAAATGGGCTCTAATTGGACCCACTTCCATTTATTTTAATATTTTGGGCCATATTGGTCCTAGAATGAAATAAAATACCTTAATGGACCTTATTGGGCCATAACTAACCTAATTAGCCCTGATGGGCCATAAAATCATTTCTTGATTTATTTTGGGCCAAGAATCATCTAATTGGGCCATAATATGGATTAAACACTAAAGGCCCAAAATTTCCTTCTCTTTCTCTAATTCTCGGCCCAACCTCAAAGTATGAAGAAAGAAGAGTTGACTTTGCATGCCACCTTATTTTTACATGTTGGTCTTCCATGCATTCATCCCATGTTCCCATGCACACATCACTTCACTCACTTCTCTTCTCCCCTCTCTTTTTTTAACCCTCGGCCGAGAACCACAATGAAACACACACACATTTCACTTAAACACTCTCAAAGAAACTCTCTTCATCCTTCATCAAATTTTCGAGATCTAAATGCTCTTTAAGGAGTTTCTTCCACAAAAATCATCATTCAAGGTAAGTTGGTACTTGAATCCATGATCTAACTACATCACTTCATCAAAAATCTCTTTTAAATCTATTCAAACTCGTGATCTTGCATCTTAGAGCACATCTAAGCCAAAGATCTTCCAAGAAGCTTACTAGGCCGAGATTTTTGCATCAAACTTCTTCCATTCTCCTTCAAAAACTGAAACCACAACTCGAGCTGAGCTTCATACCCCTCTCTTTTCGGTTTTCATATGTTTTATGGGGGAGAATACAAGAATTTGTGTAGATCTATCTGTATGTGTATGATATGTGTGATTTTATGCATGTATGTATGATTTTATGTGTTTTTGTGATGAACATGTAACCAAAAAGGGGTGATATCACGAGATCTATGACATAAGAAAGAGAACAAACATTATCTAAGTTACTTTGCACCTAACAAGTCAAGAATAATAGCATATAAGATTGTGATAAACATACTTCAACACAAAGCCCATTCATGGGCTTAAATTGTCAAAAATATAAAATTCAGGTTAAAGGTTTCCAAATCACGGTTTCTTAAGGGTTAAAGAGTCAAAACAGTTAAAATAATTGTTTTTATGAACATTAAAATTTTCAAAGGCCTTGAAATGTAAATCTTTAACTAAATGGGCTAATTTTGGGCTTTTCGGCCCAGTAAGCCCAAAATTGCGAAAAATGACATTTGAAGGAGCTGAAATGAAAATTTCCTCAAAACAGGGGACAAAAAGTGTAACAAAACTATTTTAAGGGTGAAAATTCTTTTTATTTCCAAAAAGGATCAAAAATGTAAAGTTTTTGGATTTTGGGATAAAAGTGTAAAAATTGCAAAAAGTTGGGCTTTAACCGGAAAATATCATTCTGGAAGGGCTGAAACTGTTAAAAAAATAAGTTTTGAGTTAAAAATATCATTTCAACAAATCTATGATGCAAAAGTGTCAAGAAAATGTTTTAAGGATCTAAAATGACTTTTCTTTTATATTAAGGACTAAATTTGTCATTTTACAAAAGAAAGGGGCTGAAAAGGTCAAACCACTATTTTTAAACCAATTATGTTATTTATAGAATATTGAGTCAAAAATACTACTCTACGGTTTACAAAAAGATTGAAAGACAAATACACGTATAACTCCAAATATCGTTATAAACAAATCGATCGGCCTCGAGTCGATACAAAACAACAATCGTTAAATCGAACTCTCCAGTAGATATGCGATACCTAAGACAAGTAAACATTCGACACTTGGGCTTGAAAGTTTCAAATCATGCTTTTTGGACCTTTCAAGTCCATTAACATGATCTTTGGGCCCAATGGATAATGCTTATATGCTATTGGGCCTTCTATGACCCAATTCCATATAAAGGGACCTTCAATGGCTCTCAAGTGCTTTTGGGCCCTAGTGATCCAATAGTATTTCCAGTAAGGTCAAAATAATCAAATGCGAGATGGGCCAACGAGTCTTTCGCATCCCCGACGGCCTAAAGTAAACTGACGGAAGTAGCACGATTTGTACTCCTTTTTCCTCATTTGCTAGGCTTATGAGTAATCAATGTAAACAAATTCAGATTGATAATCGACAGTAATCAAGGTGGCTGGATTAAGTGAGTTATAACGGGCGACGCCTATAAGGATCGTTCGTAAACTGTAGTTATAGCTAGTCATTACTAATGCATGATTATAACAACTCACAAACCTTAACTAATCCAACACCACCCGAGTAATCAAGGAAAAGTAATTAAAATCATTCAATGTGGCGGTATAACAATTTGAGAAATCACGGTATTTTATGTTTTTGGAAAACATCGGGTTTTCCGGGGAAGTTCAACATTTTCACTTCTACGTTTAATACTAAGTTCTTCAATTATACATGTTTTGAAATCATCATGCATATTGTACGAATCTTCAAACCTTTTTATAAACAATGGCTTTTTCAGAAAATATCGGATTTTCTGGGTTTTACAAACTACACAGATCATTTTATCACAACATACTTATGAATTCACCAACATTCCATATGTTGACCATTTTTTTTTCAAAATAACTTGTATTCTCAGGTAACAGGTAAACTGAGGAATAAGTACCAAGTATGTTAGGGTGTTTTGCTTATGAAAACTATCAACCAACTTATGTATGGATTTGTAATGTTAAAACAATGTACTTGATGTGAACAACTCCAATTGTAATATATTGATGCACGGTGATGTTTATGTTATGATTCATGTATATTCATTGTGATGATATTCAATTTAAGTCAATCGAGCCCTCGGACGTTACTGCCGTCTGGTCTGGGGGTGTGACATTGAAGGAGCAAACCTCATCATAAGATAAGATTGCCTGATCATTGAAGTCATTCTCGGGAGAAGTAACAACACTAGCTGGATAATGAATAGTTTTCTTAACCAAGACGAAAAAATCGGAGGAACAGAAGAAAACGAGTAAGAGGAAGATTTACCTTCGCAATAAGATGATGAAGAATGAAGAGAGTAAACAAGAAATTACCGGAAGCCCATATTTATATCAAAAAAGAGATACGAAAGATGATTTGATTGCTTCTTGATAACCACGAGATGGATAAAACTTATCCATTAAGGGACAATTTTAAAACTCTTCTTTATCTCCTCTTTTTAATTTTTACTTTAAGTTATCCCTTTAATATTCTCGAAATTAACTCCTATATTTTCAGGAATAACTTGGGGGCATTTGTTAGGGCCAGGATCCTCAAAACATTCAGGATCCTCAAACCTCATCAGATATTCAGGATCCTCAACTATCTCAAGATCCTGACCATTACCGTTATTATTATTTACTAACATTTATAACGGTTATATTTCGTTTTTAATTAACATATGTGCATAAATAGTCAAAAGAAGACTTATTCTCAACAGAGAATCCTTTCAACTATGCTAAAAACCCGGAATACCAAGTCCAACAACGTTCACAAAGCTTGTCATAGAGGATATTAGACATCTTGTTAGCTAGTTTAGACTATAAATTGACACATGTATCTCGCATGTGACACACACTGCTTACTCTTAGATTACTCTACAAACTTTTTCACTTGTTCTTACTAAAATAGTCTTTATAATCATCATTTTATATTAATAAATTCATCAAGGTAGGGGATCATTATCACCTCCCAAGGTTTTGTGTCGGAGATCCTAGCAAGGATCCAGGGCTTTTCTTGTAAACAATCATGTCATTCTCATTACCTTTTTCTATCTGACAATTCAAACATCGCAACCTCTCATTCAATTTGGTTGATTTATACTTGTGTAGTTTTTGACCAAAATAAATACAGTGAAGAGACCTACCTTAATGAATAGATCTCACACTCGGGTTGTTGGTGTTGACGTCTCTCCCACTAAACATATCCAAAACAAACGCTAATTATCAATCAGGATAAATCCCCAACTTTACTAGTCCATATACAACAATAAAATCTCATTAGGGAAAAAGAGCATTTTGCACTTCCAAGTCCTCAACCTCTCGTAGTTGACCAAAAGTCCATCTAGTCAAAAAGTCAATGTTCAACCCCTTATTGTCTTACGCGCTACGTACTTCTTACTCTACACGCGGCATAAAGTCCAATCCGTAAAGTGGGCCAAAATTGAGTTATGTTGAGCATAGCTTAGATTATACATTGCGTAAGATACTAAGTCCTTTTCATTTTAAGCTCTTAATTTGTGAAGACAAGTCATCAAATGCCTAGATTTGGTCTAAATAAACGTATAGAATAATAAAGTTAATGGTTTTATACTTTTACATGAATAAATGGAGCCCAAACTTAAGCCCTAGATTCCTAATCTCTTCTAATGTCCAAGATCTCTTGCATAGATGAAAAGTAGCAATAAATATTCCATTTTTATGTCTTAACAACCTTAGATACAACAGAAACTAGCCACCCTAAGGTATAGAGTAGGTTCTACTCACAGGACTCAAGATTATGGGATGAACGATTGTTTAATACAAGCATCAAATGAGATCTAGCACATGGATGAGCAATATTCAAGCTTTATACCTCCTGATGTTGAGAAATGCAATGTAGGTTCTAGATCCATAAGCTTGGGATTCAACAAATATTCAAACTTGACCTTCTCCTTCTTCAAGATGCACCAAAAACACACAACAAATGCTCAAAGATTGCTCTAAGGGATTAGGGTATATGTGCAAAAGGGTGGAGGTTGGTGGTAAGAAGAGTCTCAATGATATTAAGGTCCTTAAATAGGGTCCAAGACCTCAAAATTAGGATTTGCACCACGTGTAGTTACATCCTATGTAACCTGAGTTACACCCCGTGTAGGGCATTAAGTGCTCGTGTCCAAATAATGAGTTACGCCCTACGTAACTTGGCTAGCTACGCCTCGTGTAAAGCCACTATTTTACAAAATAAATAAGTTTAAAACATGGAGAAATGTACCTGAGAACCGGTTGTTATAGAAACTTTCTTAAACTTTGCAACTTTTTCAACCAGATCCATATAATGGTCACAATACACTTGGACATTATGAGAAACACCACCTGATAAAGTAACAAAAGGCTTCACCAAATCAGTCACCCTATTAAATACATCCCGTAGCCCACGGTTCTCATGATGAAGTGCCTCATTCCCATCCAACCAAGATATCACTTCTTGACCTAATACCATATTTTCCACAGGTTTAAATTTAAACAAATCCCGAGTATTTTCCCTTACACCCCTACCCATGCTTAATCGAGTTCTAGGTGAAGAAGAATTCTCAAAAAAATATATAGCTGCCTTGGTATCCAATAGGGATTAATCTAGCCTATATTCATAAGGAGGAAGATAAACAGGACCAGGTGGATAAGGAGCATCCACATCGTGAGGCGAGTTTGCAAAATTTAGCTGTTGGATATAGGAAGGTCGATGACTAATCCCCAAGCTATGAGAAAATGATTGGAATGTACATGGATCCAAGGAACGAGACCTCTTCATAACCCTACCTCCGCTACTAGCCTCTCCACCAGACAATACAACCACAAGTGCAGCTGAAGCAACCGAACCCCTATCTGTCTTCTGACAAACTAGAGACACCCCTCGTCAATACCATTTACATCACCATCATCTTCTTTATTATTTACAAGAACAGGAACAATGGCAATATTAGGAGTATGTCTAACATCATTATCGTCATACGATTCATGTACCCTAACCGAAGAATCAGATTCTTCATCATCAACAACAAAATTGCTACCTTCAATACCATTGTCGGTGAAGCTATCATCGTACACCGACAACTCAAAGTCATCAGAACCAAGATCTCGAGCTAAAATAGCCCCCTCCATAAAATTGGAGAAAATAAAGGGTAGTTGGTGTCCATCTAAAAGAAAATGCGTAAGTTACCAAGATACAAAAGCAAAACACATAAATGAACAAGAATGAGCAAACATACCTAATCCTCGAACGAATAAAGATGGAACCACACCCATGTGAATCTAGTGAGGACTCATACCAACTTGCCCTAAAACAGATTTTAGAAATTTCTTCATCACAACATTAAATCAGGAGTCCTATCATGCTTTTGATCAGTAATAGTATCAAGAGGATGGGAAACATTATGATAAGTAAACCGAGATGCATTCAACAAAATAAACTCAGTCTTCCATCTTTTGATGGATCCGGGAAGGCCTTTAATCAAACTACGACAATGAGACCAAAAATAGTACCAAACTTAGTTGCTACAAATTCCAAAAAAAAAAGTGTTGGAACAAACCAATGGTAGTAACCACGAGAGCAGCATGGAATAATAACTCGAAACAAAGATTCTTGGAGATAGATTTAGGTTTCAGTTGACCATTATTAATCTTGTATGCCTACACAATAAGACCAAAAAAAGGAAAAGGGGGCACGCGCAGACTGGGTACAAAATAATACAAATAAAAAAGAATCGTTCCTGGAGGAGGACGATCGATAACCAATGTGGAATTGGGAAGAATGACGCCATCTTCTTCAATCAGATGATATATTTGTGAAATCTGATTTAGACATTCTTGAGTCACAATAAAACGAATATGAGGCATCATTGGACGAGTCATGATAATTTTCAAGGAAAGGTAAAAATCGAAGAAGAATTGATGGATAACCAAGAAAGAAACATGAATGGCAGTGATAGATGTGACAAAATTTTAGAGTGAACAAAAATTAGTAAAGGTAACCATTGCCAACTCAATTACATCAACGCCGCCATGAATACCAAGGTGCGTGTAATAATCGCAAATTGTTTCATTGCACGACAGACTTAACTAGATATTTTAGTCAAATTATTAAAAACAGTTCAACAACCGCTTTTAACACTTGGGTTGGGAGCTTAATGGTGTATGGGTCAGACCCATCTAGAAACATGTCAGAAAAAGGATGACGATAAGTAATAAACGAGGAACACAGGTCAGTTACCATCTTACCGAACCAACTAAAAATAAAATAATAACATATCCTTCGTACACGACACTCCAAGCAGCATCCCAGGAAACACGGAAAAGGGGGGGTTATTTTATCAAAGGGTTCTACAATTGCAACCTACTTACCAACAAAGGATACAAAAGGGAAAGTCACGAATTGCATAGAGCTCCATCTATATAAAGGTAAGTCTATTTCTCAAACGGCAATGGGCAGAAAGGCAACATATTCCCACTACGCAAAAAGCAATATCTTACTTAGGCATCATAGAGTAATATCGAGGTTCACCCCTCAGTATGGCTTTCTAACCTAGCATTTGCTCATTCTATGCATTGTGACCTCCCGAGTGTTCATTAGAAGGAGTCCGATAAGGATAGCTACTAACACACTCAGGGACTTACGTAACAACATGTATGTTTTATTGTTAACCTGAATATTTCCCATGAATGTAAAATGTTAATTTTATGAGTTAATAAAATTTCGTAAAATTTTAGAAGATAACTTTGATAATCCCTAGATATTTATATAGAAAAATTTAGGTTGTTATTGATATAACCTTAGGGAATCTGATGTGCTCCAACTACCAACCACATATGGTATGCCCTTATATGATAAGACGAATGGTTAAAGGTTTATGTAGTCGATTTTGATTTGTTCTTTGTGACATATGGTAGAAACAATATCATTAGGCTCCTTGGTGATTCAGCGGTGACAATAGTTGTATAGTTATACTAAGATTGAATTGATATTGGTTTAATTTTGTAATTCATCTTTTAGATCACCACAAATCTCTATCGAGAAGTAGAATCTTGAACATTTGTTTTATGACTTTGAATGTATTACGTTCATTTGGATTTCTAAAACAAAAGGATGTTTGATCACTTACCATGGACTTGATTATACATTAGGGTTATGATCTTTGTACTTGTATAGGAAGACATACATTATGTATTTTGTGTGTTTAATTATATAGTTATTATGACATGTGTAAATACGGGTATGTTGGAGATGGCCGCTGACATATTAAATAAATGCTTGAGACTATTGGGTTACACAATTGGTTGAAATTGAAAAGAAATAATAAATAATTAAAAGGGATTAATTTGGTAATCATTAATAAAAAAAACGAATTAAATAAAAATCAAGGAAAAAGACATTTTATGCGGTAAAGGGTTATAGTTTAAAGTATGGTATTGTTAGGTAATTAATAAAACTTGGAGACAAAGGAAGCTTCTAGGGTTTATGCAAAATATAAGGCATGGAATACCTTCGATCATTAAATCGTATTTTGGTTTGTCTTCCTCTCCCATATGATCTCTCTTTAGGCTACAAAACTAATTTTTCAAAATGAGATTTCAAGTTTGCTTAGTACATAAGAAATGGAATTTGAAGATCTTGTTTTTTTTCAAGTCAATGGAGGGGTAATTATAATTGAGCAACTCTCCTTTGGGATTTCTTGATTCTTATTGACATATAAAAATGAATTAAATATATTAACCTTCTTCTAGGACAATTATAATTGCCTAAAGTTAATAAACATTGATCATGTTATGTATAAGATGATGTTTCTACTTTTGATTTTTAAATTTTTAAATTTTATGTTATAAGCATTAATTCAAAATATTTTGTTAGTCCCAAAAATTGTTATGGATATGATTATGACAACTTATAATATTTGTCCTAATGTAAACCTTTGTAATCTACAAGTCTAACAAAATTTGTGGCAATATAAGATTTTGTGAGATCCGGTTTTCAGAATCTAGAATTGACTTGCCCATAGTATGTGATAGTTTTGTAAGTAAAAACTTAAGTAACTATGTTTTAAAGATCTTAAGTCATAAGGTATGTTGATCGAGGAAGTTGCACTTATGTACAGTGACGGAGCTTGAAGTTATGATTTTGGGGGGGGGCGAAAATAGAATACGTATCAAAATTGAAGAATTAGAGGGGGGGGATAGCCCCCTCTGGCCGTATATATGCTCCGTCCATGCTTATGTATGAATAAGGGCAAAGCATTAACAACAAAAGACAACTTATGAAGATCAAGAATGTTGATCAATTTCTTAGAAGACAAAATTAGCCTAACTTCTTGTAAATCAATTAATGGTAGAGTTTCTTATATGTAAAAAACTTTGATTATATTAAAAAAAAAAAAAAAAAAAACTATGGTGTACAATGTGTTGCATCTTCCATACAATGTATTGTAAATCAATTAATGGTAGAGTTTCTTAAATGTGTCACATCTTCCATACAATGTGTTGCATACGAAGATCATATGAAAAATAGTAGAGTTTGAAATGTAGCAAAGATACATTTTTTGATAAATAAGAAACGTATGTTTCATCAAAAAGGTATGGGTGCATGATTTTAATCCCCACGTTCAAAGATATCATCTCTAGTTGGAGCTATACTTGTGTGTTCAAGTATCAGTGTATTCATTGTTACTAAGAGAAGTGTTTAGAAATTGTGTGTTTGTTGTTAACGATTATTTTATCTAAAGAAAAAACTCCATAAGGTTTTGTTGTTATTTATTTATATGTATTTATCTTATTTTGATTTCTGATTTGAAAAACATAAAATAATTTTAAAAACATATACTTCTTAAGTCATAAGGAATGTTGATCGATGAGATGAAATTAACTTATTTTTACGGATGAAGTGGGAAATAGTTTATTGATTAGTTTTTTTGGTAGATGATTGGTTTTGTGAAATTGATTTTCACAATAGATTTGCTAGATTATTTGATTTGGAAATTAATCAAATTATGGGCTCTCTTAATTTTTTTAAACAACCAACGAGATAAATGGATGTATGATCTTGATTAGAAAGGGTTTTCACTATCAGGTCAACGAGGAAATTTATAGATGATCAAATATTAGATGAATAACTTGGTGCCAATGAAGGTGAATATTTTCGGTTGGACATATGAGAGTTAATTGCCTAATAGAGGCATATGCGTTAATTTGTACTTTGTGATGTATTTTATAAAATGCATAGCAAGACAAGCAATTATTTATTCGTTTGGTGTTATATGGTCGTTTCAATTTGATGACAAATTGGTCACAGTGGTGGGATACATATTTCTTCCTTTGACACAAATAGTTGATTTGGGTTGGTCGATCAGGTTTCTGTGAGGCGCAAAGAAAATGTTTTGACACGCCCAAGCTTGCTCTTTGTGGCTTCTATAGAGTTTTCAAAATGCTTGGATTTTCAGCCTTCAGAAATACGAAAAAAGTTCTCTTTGATAATATTTTTTTGGTTTCTTTGGTTCATTAAAAAAAAGTGTTAAAATGAAACTTGATTGGATATGTTGATTACAAAACTCAAACATTATTACCTTTTTATTTTTAAATTTTTTATTGTTTCAAAAATTTTGCTAATAATTTAATAACTCTTTATCTTTCAAAAGAGATGTATTATAATAAGCCAAGAAGGGCAAGCTATGTACCTTTGTATAGTTTTTTAAAAACTTGAATAAAAATATAATTAAACATAAATATCAGCATATGGATAATTCGGCTTTTTTTAAAAAACCTTATCAAGATTCTAATATGTTGTTTGGTAAGTGAAAATTTACATGTTAGTATTCATATAATGAAAGTGTTAAAAATTAGTTCTATCAAAACAAGCAACAAATAATCCACAGCTGTTTTTCTAGTTTTAACAAATATCTTATAAACAACTCAAAACATCATTTAAAATAATATCTTCAAAATTCAGTGGTTGTAACATGTATATGTCATCATTTTTTCTCTTCATTTTAACAGTCGTATTATATATTTATAATAAGTCATTTGTTGGAAAAATAACTTGCGAGGGTAATTATCTTTTTATCTTGTTCATATTTAGATAACTTTAATTTTTTTATACACATTTGACCATTTAACTT